GGGCAATTGTTACAAGATGAGGAAACAATACTCCTTGCTATAATAAATAACATTCTATAAGCCACTAAATTTCTATTGCAAACTAAAATCCAATGTATCACCATTTTTTAAAATACATTCTTGGCACAAGAACAAGCCCATGAAAACAGCTTCTCCAACCCTCCAGTAGCCATTTAAAGACCACTGCATTCCTAAAAAATCACCTGGTTATCCTCATTGACCTTCAATGAGTTTCTTTGAAATAGTATAATTTCAATGAAGTGAAACTCTCACCCTATCTTTTTAAATTTGTGAATTCCCATAACATTTCTGTAAGAATACATAAACAAAAATAGGGTGTGATATGGTGTGTTTAAAAGAAAAAACAAAAACTTTCACAATTTTAGGGCCCTTTAACATAGGTAGCATCGGTTCCATTCAGAAGGGGATCTGTGAACAGATCTTTTGCTGAGTCTGAGCAAGAGGATGGAGATCACTTTTGTGATATCCATTTAGGGTTTCCTTCCTTCCCCAGAGAGTACTTTTACTATCAAAGATATTCTTGTAACATTTGTTCAGGTTTTTGGTTTTTTTAAGGTTTCTCCTTCACTTTAACAGGCCCATGTTAGGTCAATGGACATTTGGATGCAAAAGGATGTGCATCCATTTACATAATTTTACCTTCAAAAAATCACGTTTAGATCCAAAAGCTAAAAAGGATGCAAACTTTTCCCTCATGTTACAACCAAAAACTTAAAAATTTATTTTATTGAGATTTTATGTAATAGACCAACACAAAGTAGCACATAATTGTGAAGTGGAAGGAAAATCATAAATTGTTTTCAAAATCTTTTACAAATAAATATGTGAAAAGTGTGGCGTGCATTTGTATTCAGCCCCCCCGAGTCAATACTTTGTAGAAACACCTTTCGCTTGCCATTTACTAATTAGGTGACTTCTGAAGACAATTGTTTCCATTACGTTTAGGTCAGGGGTATCAGAGTAAAGAGGTCTGAATACAAATGCACGTGACACTTTTCAGCTGTTTGTAAAAAATTTTTAAAACCATTTATCATTTCCCTTCCACTTCACAATTATGTGCCACTTTGTGTTGGTCTACCACTTAAAATCCCAATAAAATACATTTACATTTTTGGTTGTAACATGACAAAATGTGGAAAATTTCAAGAGGTATGAATACTTTTTCAAGGCACTGTAACTGAATGTAAATGGTTTACAGTTACCTACACAATGGCTTATATTGAGTTTATGTTCAGATCCACTCAAATAACTGACAGACAAACCTGAACAGACTGGCTGTGTGAAAGGGCCCTTTGCCATGTATACAATGATGAAATGTATTTTACAAAATATACGGCACAGTGCATAGCGTTGAATATTACAGTGCACAAAGTGGAGTAATGTGGTGTATAGCGTTGAGTATATGGATGAATAGCAGTGCAAAGAGTGGAGTATAGAAGATTCTTCACAGTGTGTAAAATGAAGCAGTGTGCACTACATAATTTACAGCACATTGTAGAGAAAGGAGTAGTGTATGCTATGTGTGCAAGGTGCAGAGTGTGCAATATAGTGTGCACATCAATACCTCAATATAAAGTACACAAAGTGAAGCTGCATGGAGTATAAAACAAACCGTTCAGTATGCAGAATGGATCTACACTCCCCTCTGAAACCACCAACTGTGGAAGGGAGTTCCACATCCTTACTGTTCTAAAAGTAAAGAACCCCTTATTCAGTTTAATGTCGAACTGCTTCTCGTCCAACTTCATTGTGTGGCTACGTGTCTTCTTTAGTGACCCAAGATTAAATAGTTTTCTCCAAATGTTGGAGTCACCATTCAAAGATTTGTATATTGTGGTTATATCCCTGTCTTAAGCACCACTTCTCCAGGGAGAATACGTTTAATGTTTGATGTCGTTCCTCATGACTAAGGTCCACCAGCCCCCTTTTTAGCTTTGTTGCCCTTCTATGGAGTCTATCCAGTTCCAGCACATCCCTCCTGAGGATTGGTGACCAAAACTAGACCTCATATTAAAGATGTGGCCAAACCGGAGTTTTATAAAGTGGTAGAATTATTGTTTTATCTCTTGAGTAAATATCCATTTTAATGCATGATAATATTCTGCTAGCCTTGCTTGCTGCAGCTTGACAGCCGTTCCCCTGATGAAGTCAGTGTGACAAAACATGTTGAGTAGAGCCTTGAGTGAGCTTGGGGAGAGTGGAACTGACAGCAGGCTGCTGGATTTGATCCATTAATTAAGACACCCCGTGTTTTCTCTCAGTGCAGTTGCATTACTTCACAGAGCCTTAACATGTGGTTTACATTCTCCTGTGAGTGTGATTTTATTGTTTTTTTCTGTTTCAATATTTTTATTAAGAAAGTTTTGTTTTAGGAACACAACAAGCTCAATATACGCCCACGCAGGGGCCGAGCATAACAATAACACAGAAACAGATACATCCTGCTGACTTGTATTACCCAAATAACAAAATGTCCAATGACAGCAAAGGAGGATGGCAAAAAGCCAAACCAAATATTATCAGTAGTAGTCCAACATAATACCATAAAGAGAAGAGGAAAGGAAAAAGTAAAAATGACAAAAAAAAAAATCATAAAGAAAACAGAGGAAAGGGAGACTAGGAGAATCACGGATCCACGGCTAGCACAGGCAGCAACTACAAGAGGCCATGACTAGTAGTGGGTAGGGATGACAAGGAATATCGTATCCAAGGTTCTCAAACCTTAAGGAATCTCGAATGAGAATCATGAAGAATGCTAGACATCTGTTCATTGATCAACATATTCATCCGGGCCTTCACCCCTTGAAAAACAACCGAAGGGGTTCTCCAAGCATGCACGTTTGGCCGCAATAATTAGGGTAGGATGCCAATTTCTGCTGAAATCTAGACAGACCCAAAATTGGGCAGTGCAGAAGGGGCACCCTTGCATCCCTACGGACCGTAATGTGAAATAGCGTTTGTAGCAAACCAAAAACCCTAGACCAGAAGCCTGTCAATCGCGGGCACGACCACCACCAAATGTGTAAGACGTCCCCACGTAGCCACAGTTCCGGAAACATCTATCTCCGCCAGTCGGATTAAAGTGAGAAATCCGAGCCGGGACCCAGTACCACCGCAGGAGAACTTTGTAGGCTGCCTCAAGAGTGACTGTATTGAAAGAACATTTCACCACCAATCCCCAGGCCTTACGCAAATCCTCCTCTGCAATCAAGCCACCCAGATCTCGCTCCTATTGAGAGACATAAGACAGGGGTGGTGAGGAGGGCGTACTGTTATGGGAGGCATAAATTACAGAAATGAGACCAGGGGACCCTGGGGAGTGCTGCCAAATATGTTCAAAGGATGTTTTGCAGTAAGGGTATGTAGAAGTACGATGGAGGGATAGGACCCAGTGGCGCAATTGCAAATACCTATAATATTCCCATAGCGGGACCCCCCTTGATTCTCGAAGAGACTCCCAGGAAGGAAATGTACGAGCGTTCAGAAAATCACGTACAATAACAAAGCCATGGGAGGTCCACCAAGAGAAAGAAGGGGGATGTTCTAGGCCTGGCGGAAATAAAGGATTATGCGTGATCGGCAAAAGAAGTAGAAATGATGAAATCAAATTACCCGAATATTTTACAGAATCCCAGGTTCGTAAACTGTGAAGCATGATTGGGCTCAAGTCCGGAGGGAGTAACTTAGGCGAAAGCCAAAGCAGTGCGGTTAAGGAAAGCGGAGCACAGTTGGGTGATTCCAAGAGTACCCATAAAGGGATATCTTTCGTGGCATGAAGCATAGACAACTGGGAAATCTGAGCCGCCAAGTAATACCTAGAAACCTGTGGAACTCCTAAACCTCCCTGTAATCTGTGAGTATATAGAGTAGCTCTAGGCACTCTGGGACTTTTATGAGCCCAAATAAAACTGAGAATCCGGCTTTGCAGTACACGAAGAAAAAAACGCAGGGACCTGAATAGTCTCTTCAATACAGGGCACTTTTACCCCCTTCCTGCCCAGGCCATTTTTCAGGTTTCAGTGCTCTCACACTTTGAATGACAATTGCGCGGTCATACAACATTGTACCCAAACTAAAAGTTTATCATTTTCTTCACACAACTAGAGCTTTCTTTTGGTGGTATTTAATCACCGCTGGGGTTTTTATTTTTTGCTAAATTAACAAAAAAAGACCAAAAAATCTTGAAAAAAAACACTTTTTTTTTGTTTCTGTTATAAAAGTTTGCAAATAAATAATTGTTCTTCAAAAATTTAGGCCAAGATGTATTCTGCTACATGTTTTTGGTGAAAATAACCCAAATTAGGATGTATTTTTTAGTTTGTAGGAAAGTTATAGAGTTCACAAACTATGGAATATATCTGAATATTGATCAATCCTGAAGTACCGACAGCCAATCTAATTTCTTGAGGTCCAAGAATGTCAGAACAGTACAGATATACTCCAAATGACCCCTTTTTGCAAAGTAAACAGTCCGAAGTACTGCATAAGAGGCATGGCAAGTTTTTTGAAGTTGTATTTTTTTTGTCAGAATTTTTCGGAAAATGAAAAAAATTTTCACTTTTTTTTTTTTACATACTGTCACCAGTTCAGTACAGCGTCATCATATAACTGGCATGGCAGTGATAAGGGACACTGACTGGTGACAGTATGAAAAAAAAAAATATATAATTTTTTTTATTATTTTTAATTTTTATTACTTTTTTTCTTTTTTTTAGATTTTTTTTAATATTTCACTATGACCGAATTAGTACAATGTTACCATCAGTATTTTTTTTAACCACCTCCCGCCCGCCATATAGTAATTTGATGGGTGCAAGGTGGCTCTCTCGTTCTGGGAGGACGTCATATGACATCCTCCCATTCTCACTGCGCATGCGCGGCTCAGGGAGCGCGCGCAGCGATCGGTGGTGCGTTGTGTCTCTCGGACACAGCGGATCACCGATCATGGAAAGAGCAGAAGATGTCGGCTCAGTCATGTGATCAGCTGTGTCCAATCACAGCTGATCACATGTAAACAGGTAAATGCCGGTTATCGGCATTTCTCTCCTCTCGAGCTGTCACGCTGACAGCTCGAGAGGAGAGCCGGTAATCGGCTTTCCGCGGAGGGGACATGTACATTGATCATCAGGGCGCTGATGATCAGTGTGCCCTGATGATCAGTGTAGCCCCAGCAGTGCCACCTGTCAGTGTCCATCAGTCAGTGCTCATCAGTGCCACATATCAGTGCCTACCAGTGCACATCAATGCCACATATCAGTGCCCATCTGAACTGCCTTTCAGTGTCACCCATCAATGCCAGTAAGGGCCACCTATCAATGCCAATCAGTGCCACCTATCAGTGCCACCTATCAGTGCCAGTCAGTGCTGCCTATCAGTGCGCATCATTGCCGCCTAACAGTGCCAGTCAGTGCCATGTATCAGTGCCAGTTAGTGCCGCCTAACGGTGCTGCCTATCAGTGCCATGTATCAGTGCTGCCTTTTAGTGCCCGTCAGTGATCCCTATACAAATATAAAATGCAGCGCTGTGCGATATTGCTCTGGTACAGGTGACAGTAATATAGACATAAAACCAAACATGGAATATGGAATATATATCATAAATGGATAAAATGCAGTCCTGTAATGGTGCTCGCTGTTCTCCAGTGCAAATGATAGCAATGCGCACTAACCAGAAGCGTATTGGTAATACGCATGTATATAAATAATCCTGAAGAATCCCCTCTCTTTCTGGTCAGAAACTGGATAGGAGCTGGAAGATGTAGAGATGAAGCGCCCTCGTGTGGAAAAGATGAAGTCCCACAGGCCAGAGATATCCTTGCAGAGATGTGTGGAGTGGATAATCCCTCTTCTCTGGAACTGGTGCAAGGGTCACTCTAAGGCTGCAAAAATTAGAAGCTCCTCACAGGAGACATAGGGAAGAACTCATAGTGTAGTATTTTAAATCTGCTTTATTATTCAAAAAAGTGTTGGTAAGTATCACAGTAGTCCAGATACAAGTGAGTGACTGACCCTTCCAAAATCAAAGATGATGTCAACGACGTCCTGGGCTCCACTGACGCGTTTCGTGCGCATGCACTTCTTCTGAGGTAGAGCAGAGGAATGCCATGACCGTAGCGCCGTCTTTTTATATAGTGAATGGCGCATGCGCACTTCATCGACGCCATCTTGCCGGAGTCGGGACGGCCGCGATAGTTAAGTGCGCATGCACGGCACCATTTTACCATGGGCATAATACAATCAAAGTAAAAGCGCCGAGAGATGTGACAAATCTCGGGTTGTATATGGGGGTGCCGATGGTGCTGAGTAATGCACAATATTTGTGATAATTCCATAGATACTCAAGTAAAATTACCGAGTAAAAATGGCATATAATGTGTTATATAGTGATTCATATTTTATAAAAAGAGGGGAATGCAATCATGATTTTGTAAAAAATAGATGCTCGAATGAACATATATATACGACAAATATGTTAAAAGAGTGAGTATTGGAATACATGTAATAAATATTTTTAATTATACTGTATTGGGCACCAAATAAAATGAAAGAATTAAAACACGGATAAGAACCACCTAAATGATTAGGAGTTAATATGTATATAAAATTATAAAAAAAGTTTTATTTTATATATGTATAAAACCTATACATATATGATAAAAAGGACCTCATGGTAAAAGGGCGTAATAAGGTGACATACATATGATATATATCTCTCCAGCAACAATAATGTGATAAGTGGATAAACGGCACGGATATATATATAAAATTAGAATAAACGCACATAAAAATAATAAAAAAATTGTCCTAATTCATGTATATATAGTATGTCTGTAATAAATGCGTATAAACTACATGATGTGATTCATGTGTATATTGAATATATGATATATCCATAATAAATACAAATGAACTGCGTGATGTGATTGAGAACAAGTACCGATCATCACAGTAAATAACTGAAATCTCAAGTGTGTATGGAATATACTAAGAATGGGTTTCAACTATTGTCAATGAAGCAGTTGACGTCAAGTTCAATGTTGAGTCCAGCTGGGTAAAGAGTGTCCAATTCATAAATGAATCTTGTTTCTATTTGTGAGACAGCCCTGGTTTTGTAAGTTCCCCTCCAATGTGGGGTGACAATATCTATGCCGACAAATTTCAAACTGGTGGGATCTTTATTGTGGCATCTCCTGTAATGGAGGGACAAGGAATGTTCCATGTACCCTCTCCTAATGTTGTTAATGTGTTCCCGGAGATGGTCTGTCAGGAGCCATCGCGACGCATGGGTCTACACATGAGTAGGTGTCTACCGAGACGTATAGGTGGCAGGGCACTAGGATCCAGGCGCACCTGTCGTCTGGACAGTACTAGGCAGGCACTGGGACCCAGGCTACGCCTGTCAGGTGCAGGGCGGGCTATTTAAAATAGCCCTGCACAGACACTTGTTGCCGAATGGTCTTTGTATCCTGTTACCTGTGTGTGAGTACTTCTGATCTGGATTGTTTTGACCTTGTTGCCTTCTCCCGTCCTGACCCCTTGGCTTGCCTGACTCTACTCCTGGATGTTCCCGTTTAGATCTGACCTCCTGGTATTGACCCTGCGTGTGACCCGACTATCCTTTGCCTACCGTTTTGTACCTTACCGATCCGCTAGTTACCGACCCGGCCTGCATGACTCTGATTTAGCTCATCCATCCACCCACCCCGCAGGGATCACTAGGCTCCCTTACATCAGACTCCTAGCTCTCTGGAGCCCCTGTCAGACTCCTCTACCCCTGTTGGAGATACCTGGTAGTTGCGACCTGGTAGCGGAGCGCTCCAAGTCCATCCCCACCATCAGGGACCCTGGTGAACAAGTGCTCTGGTGCTTAGACGCCGCACTCGGGGAGGCTCTACCGGGGGACTGATAGAGGTGCTGTCAGGCGGTCTGTTACAGTACCATTCGGCCATGACCGAGTCTGGAGGGTCGTCTTCTCCATGGGATGAGATGTGCCGACATTTGTCCGTACTGACCCAGGCAGTAACTAACCTGCAGGACAAGTGTAGTCGGTTAGAAAATCGATTTGACACCCTAACGGTATCTGGAGTGTCCCCTCAGAGTCAGGCCTCAGCTATTGACACTAGGGCGGTTTCTGAATCTCCCAGTGGGGCTGCGGCTGCAGCTCCACCAGCCGGACCCCACGTTCCCATGCCTGAACGTTTTCAGGGAGATCGAGCACATTTTAGAACGTTCAAAAAAAACGCATGCTACTTGTATTTTGAACTGCAACCACGTGCGTTTACCACAGAGTCGGTCAAGGTGGGATTTGTAATTTCTCTAATACAGGACGAGCCCCAGGACTGGGCCCTTAGACTAAGGGAAACGCAGGACCCTCAGTTACAGACCTTAGACGCATTTTTTAAGGCCATGTCAGTTCTGTACGATGACCCCCAGCGGTCGGTTTCGGCTGAAACCACCCTTTATGCCCTACGACAGGGTCATCGAGCTGCGGAGGAATACGCCTCCGAGTTCAGGCGATGTATGGGGGACACACACTGGAATGACGCCGCCCTACGTCACCAATTTAGGGTCGGACTCTCGGAGGGCCTAAAAGATGAGTTAGCCCGGGTTGGCCTCCCCGGGTCTCTAAAGGAGTTGATCGACCTGGCGATTCAGATTGATCGCAGGTTAAGGGAACGCCGGTCTGAGAGGACAGGTCAAGGCCAGGGTCAAGGAGCTACCTGGATACCCCCCAAAGGCACAGGTCATTCCGTCCCTGCTACTGTTCCACCAGTTGTCTCCACTGATGTGCCAGAACCGATGCAGCTGGGTTTGGCGCAGCAGACCCTTACACCAGAAGAACGCCAGAGACGGCGGGCCAAGAACCTGTGTTTCTATTGCGGGGAAGCTGGACATGCAGTGCGAAACTGTCCAGTGAAGACATGTAAGTCTCGATCTTCGGTTCCTGTTTCTTTGAGTAATATAAGTCAGTCCAATTACTTAGCAGTACCCCTTTTGTTTCAGCTGCCATAGAAAACCGTGGTAACCACTGCAATCATTGATTCGGGGGCCTGCAGTTGCTTCCAGGACCTTGACTTTGCCTGCCAGCAGGAGATACCATTACAGGCCAGGAAATGGGGGCTCAATTTGTTCTTGGCTGATGGTTCCCAAATAAAATCAGGTTTAGTGGACCAAGAGACCCCTCCCATACTCACCACCATAATGGGCTCCCATCGGGAATTACTACACTTTGACGCCATTGCATCACCCCTTTTTCCAGTGATCCTGGGGCTTCCGTGGCTGCAGGCCCACAACCCCCAGATCGACTAGAAAACCGGGTCCCTTAGTTTTTCTTCAGATTATTGTCAGAAAAAACTGCCCCCCAGATCCTCTTATGTGCAGAAGAGGACGCTAACCTAAGACAGATTGTACCAACCGTATATCATGAATATTTAGACGTGTTCAGTAGACGAGGGGCTGATACACTACCACCACATCGACCATATGATTGTCTCATTGACTTATTGCCAGGTTCTGAGATTCCTTTTGGCCGTATCTTCCCGCTATCGGAAAAGGAATTAGGGGTACTGAAGGACTATATTGAGGAGAACCTCCAGAAAAAGTTTATTCACCCTTCCACATCTCCGGCAGGGGCGGGTATCTTCTTTGTGGAGAAGAAAGATAAAACCTTGAGACCCTGTATTGACTATAGGGAATTAAATCGGGTGACCATCAAGAACCGCTACCCTCTACCTTTGGTCCCAGAGTTATTCCAGAGTCTGGGGACAGCGGTCTGCTTTACGAAGCTGGATCTGCGTGGGGCATACAATCTGGTCCGCATCCGGGAGGGGGATGAGTGGAAAACAGTTTTCCGTACTCGATTTGGGCACTTCGAGTACCTGGTCATGCCGTTTGGACTTTGCAATGCCCCAGCCACGTTCCCACACTTCATAAATGACGTGTTGCGTGATTTCTTGGACATTTTCGTTATCGTCTACCTAGACGATATTCTGATCTTTTCTCCATCTCTAGATGTCCACAGAAACCACGTAATCAAGGTTCTGGAACGGCTGCGCCTGCACGGCCTATATGCCAAGGCCGAAAAATGCAGCTTTGAGCAGCAAAGCATTGCATTTTTAGGAATTATTATCTCCACTGCGGGGATCGCAATGGATCCCCAAAAGATCTCGGCAATTCTTGATTGGCCAATTCCAGCCGATAAGAAAGGCGTCCAAAGGTTCATTGGATTTGCCAATTTTTACAGTAAATTCATCAGGAATTTTTCAGGTCTGGTTTCCCCCATAACGCAGTTAACCAAGTCAGGAAATCGCTTCAAGTGGACACCAGGAGCTCAAGAAGCATTTGAGACTCTGAAGCGACTGTTCACCACCGCTCC